CAAAATCTATGATTTGAAATTTAAAAGATTAAAATCAAAATTAGGACAAACTTGAGGAATTAAAGATTATATTAATCGTACATTTTTTCAATGGTATAAGTTGTACACCACAAAAATTTCAAACTCGAGTAGGCGACACTTGGGATTATCTCAATTTCATCCTTGTCAAATTTTTAATCAAAAGACCAAATTTTGCCTCATATTTTGTATATCTAAACATACATTATATAAAAAATAACTAAAGTTAAGTTTAATGACAAATGAAAGTTTGAATTCAAAAAAATACCCAATATTTAGTATCCGATATTTCTTTAAACAGAATTGTCTTCATATTCAGCGCGCACACATATATATAAATAGTTTAAATAATATATTATAAATGCAGGACCGTATGCATCGAACCCCAGAACATGGGTTCAATCAAGTGGGAGTGACGAATGATTCATGCTTTCAAGAAATATCTTTCAAATGAAAACTCATTCAGAGAGAGAAAGAGAGTTGATGTTTGAGTTTGGATAGACATTTATCATATGCACTTCTAATGGATGTGACACCTTCTATTATACAATTCATTTCATTTAGGTGGATAGAGATAGTTCCATCTAAAAAAATTTGGAAAAAAAAAATTAAAACCAACCAAATCTTTTTTAATCTTCTGAATGCATGGCTAGCCGTTCAATGCTCAAATTTTGGTTTGCTTTCCTTTTTCCATACCTAATTATTATTTCCATGAAAGTGTAGAAATAAAAATAATTGTTGCCATGAATTAAAATAATTGAATAAAAAATATTAAAAAATGTGAATATAATTCTGCCTACTTTAAATTAAATCATTTTTCATCAAAATGCTATTTTGTCTTCAAGATCTCTACAGCATCGTCCATTAAAATTGACCACATCCTCTTTATTATAGTGACTAAAAGTTGAAGGGACATCAGATTTTGGATCACCAATAATTGAGTCAAAAATTCCCCTGTTTAAATCTAATTAAACTTCTTGTTTGCGTCCGAAGTCACAATTAGATTATCACTCGTTGATATTATATAAATATATATATATATATATATATAAACACATTTATCTACGAATGTACGCATGCATGGCTTTAAAATGGGGAAACAAAAAAGTGATACATTTTTTTAATGCTCGTGGATTTTTGGCAGTCATATTGAGTTTTGATTAATTTGAATTCAATTAGGTTAGATTTTACAACAGCAACTTTCTTAATATACAAAACTAGAATTTTAGAATATGATTAAGGAACATAAGCACTAAACTCTTACAAAAAGAAGGGTCTGAAATTGAATTGAAATAAAACAAATAAATTATAGGCGAAATTAAATAAATAGGCCTTATGATCTTATTGCATGGGATCTTTCATCCCAATTTAATGCCAATAAGTAAGATGAGGAAAAAAAAAATTGAAGTTAATTCCAACTAAAGTTTAGAGTTTGTATGTTAACTCAAAGGTTATAGAGATAATTGATTAGGTTTCAAAGCTTATGAATAATTAATTTCCCAATCAAACTTACCTCTCGTTGTTCACTTCTATGCAATTAACCTAGACATCTTAGAACTGAGAACTTCAGGAGACTTGAATCCACAAATCACACAGGGAATTGCCGACAAAGAGACTAAACCTATTAGATTTAATTAACAAAAGATGGGAAAAAGAATCAAAGAAAAATTCTTCCTGTGTTAAATATAGGAGTTAGTGTATGGATTTGTTTTGGTTTTAAATGTAAAATCTCAATTTATGTTGTCTCCTCAATTTATAATTTTTTTTCTCTAGATTATCCATATTAAGTGCACTTGATAAAAGAATTACTATCATGGACAGTCTCCAATACAAATGATTATATATGCTTTTTAAAAAATTAATAGACTCTTCTATTTTTATTTACAAGTCACTTTTAACATGTTTCAAACCCAGAAAAATTTTAAATTTTATTAACTTTATCTTAAGATTTAACAAATTTTTAACTTTATCTATATTTAATATACATGATAACTCATAAGAACAAAGTCAATATAATAATAAATAAAAGGCAAAACTATCCATTAAAAATTTTTTCTCTCTATTTCACTCTCCATCCTATAAATAGGATAAAAAAATATATTTATTATAAATAACTAATATAACTAATTTTTCAATCTCTTCAATTTAATTATCTAGCATTTATATTTAGGAACACATGAATTTTTTTAAGAAAAATTTTAATAGCTTAGGTGATATTGGTTGATATAGACAGTCATATAAATTATGTGAATGTAGTCCTTTGTGGAACCAAATTTGGTTTAAATTGGGCTTTCAGACTCAAAGGAAAAGGATTTGCAGTTTTGCACCAATCACTCACCCTTTGTGATTTTGTGTGGTAAAGAGTAACATTGAGTTGGTACTTCCCACTGCTTTTCACTATCAAATCTTACCTTGCTAATAAAGTGCCATTATCATATAATTAATTATTTTTTAATTAAAAAATAGAGTGAGGAAAGGAAAAGAAATTAATAGAAACATTTTTGTTACACAATCCTTGTCCAATAGTAAATAATGCCTTGACACAATCATTAGCCTCCCTGGCTTAAAGTCTAAAAGTTAAATCCTCACAATCCTCACTTTTTGCTTTTTTCAGATAAGAAATCCTTTAAATATTAGTTTTTAATTATTTTTAAAGTTTTTTTGAAAGGATTGAGTGGTCCCACTCAAGTTGGACGTTTCTGAGTTGTTATAATAATCTCTTGGGTCTTGCGTGTCTAAAATTTTTAGACTTGGAATGAAAATGACATTTAGAATGAAATGGCATGATAAATCTTTCTGGTTAATTAATTTTTACAAATTTATTAGATTATGTGATCTAATTATCATCATTAGTTTGCATATAAAAATCATTAAAGAAAAAAACACTTTATTCACTAGTTAGCTATGATTCCCATGGTGTCATAACCAATCCAATGCATAAGCCGTTGGCTCCTTCTTACAAATAATGCAGCTAATTTAAAAAAAATAAAAATATTATACAAAATATATGAGATCAAAAAGATATCTATACGTCTATAAATTTGTTGGAAAAAATATCACACACATATATAGAATATTATGTGTGAAAAGTAAAAATTATTACAATAATAATACATTTTATACTGGTTAAAAAAATACACACTTAAATGCATATTTAAACCTATAGTTTTTCTTTATCAGCGGGGTTAGGTCCAGCAAAAATGGTTAGTTCCTCATAACGTGGTGAACCAATGTTCAAATCCCCGCTAAAAGAGGTGTCTACATTTAGTGTCTCGAATATGATTGTTTCTAATAAGAGAATACCTATACTTTAACCAGAAAACCTATAGTTTCTCTTTTTCAATAAGAAGGTATAGTGTCAATAAATTTAAAGGTTTTTTTTGCAATACTTTTTTTCTTTTTTCTTTACAAAAAGAGGAGACAGATACTAGTGATTGGGGATTACAGAGGAGACCAAACTCGTAATTTTTTATTTGTAAGAGAAGTATTCATATCACTATGATATAAGGTTATGCTGAGCAAATAAGTTTTGCCTGCTTCTTTGTTTTTTTAAATTTTTTTTTTAATAATTTTATTGAGATTCACACTGTGCCAAGCCTAATTTACAGTAAAAAAGTAATAATTAATAATTAATGATGTTTTTTTGGGGGTAGGTTTGGTTGAGGTTGAGGTTGAGGTTGAGGTTGAAGGAGGTAAAAAAGAAGTGAGGAGGGAACGTTTAAAATGGGAGGAGAACTCAGACAAGCCATCACACAAACCCAAGAAGAGATCCAAACTTACAAGTCAACTGAGTCTCTCTCTCTCTCTCTCTCTCTCGCCGTCTCCTTCCCTCCTCTTCCTGACAACACAGAGCAGAAGGGAAAACACTCTCTCTCACACACTATCCGTGAAATGACCCTTTTGCCCTTCCATCTCCTCCTTCCTCTTTGACTCCTCTCGCCCGCCCTCGCTCTCACCAATGGACGCCGCTATCAACTCCGCCGAGGCTCGCTCAGCTTCGGAGCTCCGGCTCCGCCAGGTCTCTTCCTCCGATCCGACTCAATTCGTCGTTTCCCGAGGTGCAAGGTACAAGCTCATGTCTCCTGCTAGTCTTCCGATCTCCAGGTCGCCCTGTATCACGATTCCGCCTGGCCTTAGTCCCTCGTCGTTTCTTGACTCCCCCGTGCTTCTCTCCAACGTCAAGGTTAGCTCTGGTTTCTTTCTTTTAGGTTTCTTTTGTGGTTCTCCCCCTTTGGCTTGATAATGTAGTGCGTGCGTGGGACAGACTGAAGATTTTTTTTAGCTCTGTTTGGCTACTGAGAATAATAACGGGAAAGTAAAGTCGTTAGTGTAATGTGTTTATCCAGCTCAATGAGGTAAAGGATAGTGTTATACTGTTAATAAGTTGACTCTAGAGAAATAAAAGCCTGTTATACTGTTATTACATAATGAGTGACATTTGGAGAATCTGTTATTTTCACGGCAATTTTCCTGCTTATAGGCTGGGGCCAAACAGAGCGTATCTAGGTCCATGACTTGCTTTGCTGGGCTCTAATTGTTCCCTCGCAAGCTTTTCACCTCTAGGATGATACTGTGGAAGGAATAATTGATTACTTCTGTGACGTGATTTAAATGCTGATGAGCTAAGATGCTCCTTCTTTAATGAAAAATTCGATGTTCTTTTTAGTGCACCGTATTTGCTTGTTTCTTCTCGTGGCCATTGTTTCTTTGAGTTGGCTTTTTCTTCATTGGCCTTTCAATTAATTGATTTTATATATTGGTGCTTGCTTGTGTTGGGACCGGTGGATTCTGATGCCTGCTCTCTCGCAGAATTATGTGTTGGCTGCTTTATGCCCTATCCCCGATATAGTATTCGTTGGAATATGACTTGCTCTAAGGATCGCTCAACATTCTTTTTTAATGTCAGTGTTGTTTTTTCACATAATGAATCTTCCCTTTTTGTTGGTGCTTCCTCTTTTCGTCTGTTAGCTGTTGTTTACGGTGTAGTAGGCTATACTGAAAATCAATCTTCCATCTGTGTTTGGAATAAAAGAATAAATGCATTTAAGGATTAGTGGCTTGATTTTTTTAAGTGTGCCCTGAGAATAGTATAAGGAATGTCAGAAAGATTGTGGGTCAAGTTTTTTTTATTTATTTTGGAAGGACATAATTATCTAGATGTTAATCGTCGAGGTGGCCTTAATTTGTGCAGAATTCTATGCGAGATTCGTCTATGAGTGGTTTTTCACAGTTGTATTTATATAACCACCCCACCACATGTCTTATGTTTATCTAGTCCTATGGACATCCAACGTGTTGAGAGAAGAAAAATAAATTTTCCTTTGCTCAAACATTGTGAGCCTTAACTGGCTTATAAATCTGCTCGTTAGTGTGCTTATCTCAGACATTTATACATGTTCTCTCCTTTCCCTTTTCACTTTGGATAAAAATACAGGAAGTTTGTGGGGTATTCCCAGGAGGGCATATATGCATAATATTTTTGAGGTTACCACTGGTTTTGCTGATTCCTTTATTGATGTTTGGAGCCTAACGATTTGCTGGTATTGAGAGACTGGCCATTTCTTTTATTAAACATGACCCCCTCCCGTTTCATTTTATTTTCCATGAAACTAAATGTGCTTTCCCTGCATGTTGTGTGTTCTATTAAACTAAGCAATTGCTGCCCTTTAAGGACTGTAACTTCTACTTATTTTCTTAATCTGCAGGTGGAGCCTTCACCAACTACTGGGTCTCTTACTAAACCTCTGTCTGTTCAAGAATCTGTTTGTCCTGCCACATATCCTGTAACCACTGTACGCTTCAAAACCAATACTGTTGATGACAAAATATCTAGCTTCTTTGAGTTTAACTCAACCAATAGATCGAATATGGTAATGGAATATTTGTTGATCTTAATAATACGGTGATGAACATATCTTGTTTAATCTGTTGGATATATGGACTAGGGTTTCTTCTGTGCTTTAATATGCGTACTAAATTTAACGGGATGTGAAGTCTAATTAAATATCTAACTATAGACGACACTATCATATTTCACCAGATCATTCCCTTTGATGTTATGGTTTTCTAGCTCCTTTGTCTGAAGCTTAGCTGGAAACAAGTTTGGTTATCATATTTCATGTTACAATTTCTTATTGTTTTGTCAAGATTATTTGTGCTTACTCAATTTCATTCACTAAATGTCAGGCTCTCACAGATTTCAACAGCCATGTAAACGAACCATCTATGCAAACACAAGGTTCAAGCCAAGCTCAATCTTCTGCTTCATCACCATTAGTGAAAAGTGAGATGGCAATGCCGTCAAATGAATTAAGTTTATCATCACCTGTCCAAATGGTTTGTTCTGATGCTACTGCTCTTGTTCAAGCCGATATGGATGGGTCTAACCCCAGAGGCAATGTAGCTAATGGGCTTCAAGCTTCACAAGTCGAAGTGAAAGATAGTGGTATCTCAGTTGCTGAGAGAACATCTGATGATGGGTATAATTGGCGAAAATATGGGCAGAAGCATGTTAAAGGGAGTGAATTTCCACGCTGCTATTACAAATGTACACATCCTAACTGTGAGGTCAAAAAGCTGTTCGAACGTTCTCATGATGGGCAGATCACTGAGATAATTTACAAGGGATCCCATGATCATCCTAAACCTCAACCAAGTCGCCGATACTCTTCTGGCACTATTATGTCTATGCATGAGGAGAGATTTGAGAAGCCTTCATCTTTGTCTGGCCAAGATGGTAACCAATCAAATCCTTTGCATTAGTTCCAACTGTTATTGCTTCTTCCAAAGTGTATTAGCTGGCTTTTCCTTTATCCTAATTTTTCCATTGTATCTAAAACAGTCAATATGTATGGTCAAGTGTCTCACACTACTGAGCCCAACAGTAATCCAGAGTTGTCTGTTGTAGCAGCAAGTGATGATGGTCGGGAGGGTGCAGGACTAGCTTCCAATAGGATCAATGATGAAGTTGATGATGACGACCCCTTCTCAAAGCGAAGGTGTGAAAAATTTTGGCCCAAGCTCTCAGCTTTCATGGTTTCACCCATGTTTACTTGCCGACCATTGGGCCTTTTTTATATGCAGGAAGATGGAGAATGGAAATGCTGACATCACTCCTATAGTTAAGCCTATTCGAGAACCAAGGGTTGTTGTACAAACTCTAAGCGAAGTTGACATATTGGATGATGGGTATCGCTGGCGAAAGTATGGGCAGAAGGTGGTGAGAGGCAATCCCAACCCTAGGTATGTTCTCACATGTATGACAAGGAAACTAATCCATACTGATCAACTTAGTTGTAAAATTTAAAATATGTTCATCATCTAGAGATTTTTCACTTTCATTATTGAGCTGTTTTGGTCTTTTGCTTACTGTCTAGACAACAATTGAAGTGAGGTTTCAGTTTGCAAGCTATCAAGGATCATACAAGCACTGTGCTATCTCTTTCTTGCAGTGATATTATCCATGTATTAGGGGACTCTTTTAATTTCTCATATAAAGTTTAATTTTTGCTCAGGCTTTACAACCTACCCCCCTTTTTTCTTAGTTTCATTTTTATGGTGTATTAGTATTACATTTATAGTTGTGAAGTTGTATATGTACATATTTTCCAGCAAAATAGTTATTTTTATTTGTCCAAGACAAGCATTGTGGCTTTCTACGATGTCAATCTTTAGTAAGTCAACACTTAGCTAGGGAGTGCCGTTGGTTTTACTGAGTTTTTACTGCTATAATAATTGCATTTTTGGTGTTCTGGAAATGGCTCAAAAGCATGAACTGGAAATCAAATATATGTCCCTGGACCTAAGTTTACAGGCTAACAATAGAAGTGAGTCCAGCTGCATCTTCTCATGTTTCTCTGTTTCTCACTATGCTCGCTCATCTTGCAGGAGTTACTACAAATGCACCAATGCCGGTTGCCCTGTTAGGAAACATGTGGAGAGGGCTTCTCATGATCCCAAAGCAGTAATAACCACATATGAGGGTAAGCACAATCATGATGTACCTACTGCAAGGAGTAGCAGCCATGACACAGCAGGACCAGCAGCTCCAGTTGGACAGACCCGAATAAGATCAGAAGAAAGCGATACCATTAGCCTCGACCTTGGGATGGGTATCAGCTCGGCTGCTGAAAATAAATTGAAGGGACAAGGACAAATGCTGCTGTCTGAATTTGGGAATGATCAAACTCATAGCAACAGTTCCAATTTCAAGTTTGTTCATAATGCCCCAGCTCCGGCATACTTTGGTGTTTTAAATAATGGCTCAAATCCATTTGGTTCTTCTAGAGAGCCCTCATCTTTGAACCATACCACTTATCGGTGCCCGCAGCCACAGGGCATAGGAAGAATACTAACTGGTCCGTGATATTGTCTAGTCTCTGCTGAAAAAAAAAAAAAATCCAAATATTATTTTGCTTCATTCTGGCGGCAAAAGATGAAAAGGTAACACATCTTATCATCACTATGAAACTGCGGATAAGTTATTTTTACGTGGAGATTAACTGTTTGAAAGTTGCATCTTTGTTACCGTTAGTGGCTTGCCTGCTTGCTTTTCTTCAGGTTGACTTGGAAGTCTAATTACTATTTGTAAATTAAAATTGGAGTTCATATCTGTACAGAAGTGAAGCTGATTTCAGAGTTGCTTCTATAAAGACAAACCCTTGTAAAAGGTACTATTTTATGTTAGGGGCGTTTAGTCTTTTCATTGAACTCTTGTTTGTAAGTAAGAAGAGAGATTGTTGTATACTCAAGCAACTTATGTTCAATACACTTTGTGCTTTATGACGTGCTTGCCGATGAGAAATCTCTTCAGTTGTACACGAATTATTACAAGTAAATTGTACTTAGAATGTTCGGAAAAAAGTTGTAATTAATTTTAACCCTTATTTTCCTTGAATTGTAACCTGCAGTTAGTTTTTTTCGCCTTTAACGCTATGTTTGGTACGGGATTTTTGGAGGGGAGGGGAGGGGAGTTTGCTCCCCTCCCCTCGTTTGGCTGGTGTAATTTTTTAGGAGGGGAGGGGAGCCCCTCCCCTCCCCTCGTTTGGTTAAAATGTTTTTTAAAGAGGGGAGGGATTCTTCTCCCCTCCTCTTCCCTTCTAACCTTCCCTCCAAAAGTGGGGTTTTTTGGAGGGGAGATGAGAGATAATATTTTAATTCCTTATATACCCTTTTAATTTGTTAACCTCTAATTAGTCGTAAACATTTCTACATAAGAGAGTTTTTTTGGGCATTTAACAAGAGGTTATTAAGATAATTGTCTCCAAAATTAGAACTTTTTTTTTCTCCTCTTCTAATTCCAAGAGGTTGTTGGTATTTTCTTTCACCTCCAAGGTCTTTTTTTTGATTGAAATCTATCACTCGTGACTTTTTATCTTGATATTCTATGAGTGTGTGACTATGTCTTGTAAATCAAAATTGGTGAATTGTATTATATATATAGTTATATCTTAACAAAATAAAAAGTGAGAAAATTCATTTAAATTTTATGAGGTTAAAATAGTCAATTTTTTATTAGAACAAAATAAGGTATTATTAAAATTGCTCCCTCCCCTCCCCTCCAATCAATCCAAACAGGAGATCATTAAAATCCCTCCCCTCCCTTCCTCCTCCCTCCCCTCCCCTTTGTAGCTACCCTCCCCTTTCCTCCCCTCCCCTTCCCTTGATTAAAATCCCTCCCCTCCCTTCCCCTCCATCGAGCCAAACACAGCGTAAGTGTTCGAAAAAAAAACTGGAAGGAATTGTAATTTAATCAAAGACTTGTTATAACCTTGTTATTACAAGTTTGTGGGAAAAAATTGTACTTCAAATCCCAAGTATAATAATTTGATGTTGGAATTATTGAAAGGAATAAAATTATTTATCACCTTCTTATTCTGGAAACATTTGAAAAAAAGGGAATTGTATGGGGTTTGAATTTTTCTTAGGGTCTGCTGGTATGAGGGAAAATGAAAGGAATGCAGGAAAATTTTTAATAAGTTTGATTTAAAAAATTAAAAAAGATTAAAAAACTTTAATTAATTTTTATTATTCTTTTAGATTATTTCTTCTCTTTATTAAAATTTCAAAACTCAACTTCTCTAATTTTTTAAATAGAGCTTATTAAAATTTTTCTACTCCTCCCCTCTAGTTTCCTCATAATAACGGTACTCAATGACAGAAGACAACTCTACAAAGTGAACATGGACTCAATACGACCCTTTCCTTTTTCTCGCCATCAATATAATCATTCTCAGAAGCTAGTAATATTTTCCCGAGATGAAAATACAATGGCATTAATAAAGGGGAATAGAACAGTTTGCTTTATTAACATGATTGTCATTAATGATACAACAAAAACCAACAAAACATCACAAAAATCTTCTGATTTCTTTCGTTCTTTTAAAACAAGTTTTAATTTTTTTTGTTTGTTTTTCAAAACATATTTTTTTAAAAAAAATGGAAATCAAACGGGCCAAAATCTCAGGTTGCAAGAAGTTGAGCTCTAGGACCCACACATGATAATTATGTAACAAGCTGAAAGACAAAAAAATGGATTACAAAATCAGAAAAAGAAATATCTTCTTTTTCCCTCCCATCATATCGATTAAAATGGGTAATAGCTGTCCACTTTCTCTCCCTTTCCCCCCTTCTCTCTTGCATAATTCTCTTCCTTATCTTATCCTTCTTATCATACGACACAGAGCATTTATTCTTAATACGCTTCAATGCAGAGATCAGAGTCTCAGAGTTAGGTAGAGATGCATCTCGCTTTGACTCTTCAACTCAATAGTTTATAAGAATTTGGAACTTAGATATTTCTATTCTTCTTTATCTCTCTGTTTTCTGCACCTAATCCCTTGTCTGCTAAGAAAGTTTAACACAGCTCAGCTTCGTAAACATATAAAAAGAATTTCTGTTAAACTTTGTAAACAACCCTTCAAAGCCACTGAGGACATTCAGAGCTAGAGTCATCAAAAGCATCCAAGAACTACAAATATATACAACTACGAGTGTCCTGGTTAAGAGAGTCGCCTTTTTTTTTTTTTTTTTTTGGAGAGGGATATTTTAGGGATGGCCATTCTCCTAATAATAACTCTGAATGATCCTAAAACCACTATTCCCAGGATTTGTTTACCACGCTTGGAATTCAATTTCTGAAGTGCTCACTTGGATAGAGATACTTTGCAAAGTAAGCTGGAAACCCTTTGGTTTGTTTCCAAGTTTTAAGGCCTTTTCTTTCTTCATTTTAAAAACTAGTAATTTTATTGATACGAAAATAAATGTGTATCAAGCTCAAACTTAAGTCGTCCTTAGGTCATGTCGGGCCTTTAATTATGAACCTAGGGTAAGCCTAAGACCAACACCTAAAAGACTATTACGTTTGGCCCAAGCCCGCATACCTGGATAAATTTCACAGTATATAAACCAGCACTCTCCCTTGCTTGCTGAAACTGACGTTGCTGATATGAAATTCAAGATGGTTTTGACGAAAGTAAAGAGTAACTTCACCATGAAATGAAGAGTGCAGAGGGAAATAAAAATATACAGAACTAGGTTACCTCACTAAAAGCCCTCAATGGCAAAATTGAATCAATTTCCTGTTCTGGGGGATTTTCACCTCCAAGCACAAGAGGCAACAAGAGGTCGATTCATCCAACCAAGGTATAGTGCACCGTCTCTTTCTTCTAGAGTATAATTTCCGCAGTAGTTCTCCAGTAGATTCTTGATGGTAGAATTCACGAAGGAGCTCAATGGATATGGCTTAAATCCAGCCATGGCAAAGCGCGACCTCCACGTTCTCAAAGGCTCATGGCGTTCCACCCTTTCTGCCCCTTCACATGCTACTAAGTTGACGAGTTCTCGAGCCAGACAGTGTTGTTCCACATTGATCCTCTCCTTGTGCTCCCTTGGCAGAACTACATCAATTGACTCAAAAACAGGCAAGTAATAGTCCAGTGTCTCAGCAAAACGGGGGAAGAACGGGACCCGGTTGGTGTTGGATTCCTGCTCCACCAGAGTCACTACTTTGGGGCAGATGTGCTTTGCCAATCTCAACAACCGTTCACGAGGATTGTGACTGTCCACAGTCTCGTCCGGTACATGGTGAAGCATCATGGCAAAATTTACAGCAACAGCTTCGCCAGGTTGAAGCTTAAGGTCTTCGAGTTGCACCTTTGAAGGAGCAACACCAGCAGCATGGAACTCAAAGGGAACCTGACACGATTGTGCAAGTCTTGTTAGTCTTTTCCCCACAATATCGAGGCCCCCTCCACGAGCAAAATTTGAAAAGGAGTCGTCAAAGCCAGTTATTCTGAGTGCTGGCGGCCCACCTGGTCGTCCAGCAAGAGCCTGAATTAGGCTTATCCACTGGCTCCCCTGGTTAATCTGAAAATCAATAATATGGACTCTATTTTCTTCCTTCATGGCTTCGGCAATCGCCCCGTTTGCTGACAAATAGCCAAACTTGAAGTATGGGCAGATTTCAAACAGCAAGTGCATGTAGGAAAGGAGTTCGTTACCAGTAGGCTCCTTGCATTTTAAGGCCTTGTAGATTGCACTTCCAGAACAGGCCATCCTCGCCACAAGAGATTCCAACATATAAGCTCCTATCCGTTGGACTGGGTTGCCTGAAATGGACACCATTTTTCGCATCTCAGACATCAGATATTCAGTTATCTCTATATCATTTGCATCCATCGCTTTCGCACAAGCAAAAAGCATCTCTTTCAAATCCCCTCTAGATGCTACGTCCATTGTTAGTTTCCACTTCTCTGCCTCTGACAAAATCCGATTAGATTCCATAGGAACTACAGTGTCATACATCCCCAGAATTTCTGTATCAGTTCCCCGCATAGCAGTTTCTAACTCTCTTATCACATGGCTCAGGTCATCAAGGTCATTTGTCAAGCAAGATTCATCCTCTAGGGAGCCACTGATGATTTCAAGTGACTGCTGGGGCATTAGCGCATAAGAATTTGACTCCAGCTGTGACGCGGGGCTGTCATGAGGTGAGAAATTGGCAGAAGATGGAGAATTATTATGGTTTGGAAAACTGTTTGTCCTTGAGGAAGATTCTAGGGTGTAATGTTGTTCCAAAGTTTGAACTGAAGAGTAAGTTGTTGCTTGGCTGGTGTTATCAGATGAGTGATAGCCTTGGTGCTCAACATAGAACCTTCCAGACCCATAGCCATGTTTTGGTGAAGTTTCCATGAAAAATAACCACTTCTTTGAGTACTCTCAAGAAGTATCAAATGCCTTTCTGCAAGTATACCCAACGTTCTTTGACAGGAGAGTTTGATACTTCTTCACTTCATGGACTCCATGTGTGTAGTCTACCTTTCAATGTTTTACCAGGTAAAAGCAAGTGTACTGAAGTTGTGTTATTCTGCAGAAAGGGTAACAAGACAACAATTATAGGAATAGCAGCATGACAAAAGAGCCATAACCACGCAGAAAACTAAGATGCAGTATTCCTAATGCCAAAATAAGAACCAAGTAATGTTAGAATTACACTAAAACACTATAAAAATTCAACAGTCAAATTTTCTGATATCAATAAAAGAAAGGAACAATTACACTTGACTAGCCGCTTACTTATACACAGAAATAACGTAGGTTTCATGACATATGTGTTGAATATGCACTAAATTACATAGGAATATTGTCTATTTATGCATATATCTCGTATAAATTTCTTTTCAGAAAGATGCTCGGAAGGATGTTCAAGATTTTTGACTTGTATAAATAAGGCAAAATTATCAATTATGTAAGAAACGACTCAAAACCTTGAGCTCTTTGTCACCACTTTCCCTAGCTAGGAACTTCACAATATATTATGAATTCACGTATGTAATCATCAAAGAGAAAAATTCGAACGCACAGGTTCAGATCAATAACTCTGCTGATATTACTCAAACAACAACAACAACAACAAAACCAGATTACATAGAAAAGAAAATCATTAAAACTAATCTAAGAGGCGTTTCTCCTTTCCGAGTTTTCTCTAAACATCGCAAAGGAGGCTCAAAGCAGAGGCACTTCATGAGAAACTCACTGTATTAACGAGGCAAACAACACTAGTTTAATAGTTTCAGAGATTCTCACCTTAAGAATCACAAAAATCCGATTCGAAACCGAATATTACAGAACCAGTGAGTTTCCAGGTCAAGCGAAGCTCAGATATTGAAGATTTAGACACCAGAGAGAGAGAGAGAGAGAGAGAGAGAGAGAGAGAGAGGGGTTGTTGAGTTCTTCCTCCTCTTGTCCCCTTAAGACCCTTTTTTCCCTCTGAAATGCGCTTTGCTGTTTTATTTATATGAACGAGCTCCATGAGGATCTGGTCCTTGAAATTACTTAAATGCCACTATGATTGCACTCAAATTACGTCGACTTGTAATAAATAAAGGATCCCTGGTTCATTAAAATATGTGGGATTAGTTGGTTACCTGTGGAAGACTTGATGTGCGTGCTTAATTCAAGTCAACCAAATAGCATGTTTATTTTTTTTTTTGATGAGTACCAAATAGCATGTTTATTCTGACCCGTGTTACGTGGAATTTGAAAATCAATTGTACTGAGATTTGTACGTTATGCTATAAAATTTGAATAATAAATTATACTGCATTATTTCAGAAATTTGTTTTGATTTATTTTATTTCTTGACTTCATAATTTTCTTTCAAGCTGTTCCTCATATATTAAATAAGGATATTGATATGAGGGTGGTTTCATTAGCAATAATAAGGGATATATCAGAAAAAGAAACCAATAAATGTATTTTTTTAATAAATAACTAACTCAATTAATTTTAAATTTTATAAATTAATTGTCTAACGTTTATTTTTAGAATCACAATAATATTATTCGTATCTTATTCATGATCGAATTTATTACAAATTTTATATTTTATATTGATATATTAACACAAGGAGGCAAAAGAAATTATATATTAACAATGATGATATTGATGGGAATGATATGTTAATGTTATTATGAGTACTATATAAAAAAATTCATTTAATAGCCTTGACCGCATGAGTACAATATTTATTATTTAAGTTATGGTTTGAATTCATTCAGCTCAAAAAAAAAAAAAAGTTATGGTTTGAATTCAAAGGGTTCCTCTCTGTTTATTTATTATGTATGAATATGAATATTTTTATATCTCCGTCGATGATTTATTAAGATATAAACCAAATTAAATTCGTTATAGTGAATGGCAAGCAGGTGGTCACAGCAACAGTAGAATAATCTAAATCTGAATTTGATAATTTTTTTTATTATTAAACTTGAGCAAGTAAAATAAAGGAAGGAGTGATGGTAAAAAGGGAAATCAAAAAAAAGAAAGGACAAAAGATAGAAAAGGGTATGTCGGTAAAAGTAGATGATATTTCGATAATCGAGCTGAACGCGTGGGAGGGTTTTGGCGGCTTTGGCCCACGCGGTTTTCGCCGCTGGATGCCTCTTTTATGCTCCCCTTCCTCCCAACGGCCATCATTCCACGACTTAGTCTGTTTGGTATAAAATAAAAAATAAAAAATAAAAAGAAATTTTTTTTAATAAACTTGATTTGAAAAATAAGATTAAAAATTTTTAATTAATTTTTTATTTTACCTCTTTTCTATTAAAATTTTAAAATATTATTTTTAAATTTTTTAAATCAAACTCATTAAAATTTTTCTTTCCTTCTTTTTCTTTCATTTCTCTTGTACCAAATATAGGATAGTTTCTTTTTATTTTTTTTAATAAATTTGCATTAATACAATTTACTCTTATTTTGATTTTGGTTTTCTAAGTATGAAATCATATTTCTTTTTATTTAAAACATTGATATCTATAATTCAATAAAAACTTGAGTCATTTTACTACTTGAGAGACTAAAACATATGATTTGAAAGTTGGGAAACCAAAATTAAAATGAGAATAAACTTGAGAGATCAAATATTATATTAACCCTATAAATTATATATAAATATATAGTTGATCTTGGCTAATTAATTTGAAATGAATAAAAAGGTGATTAAGTTAATTATTTATCAAATAAAAAATGCATATTATTTTTCTTAAAAATATTCAGGAGAGACATTTAGTGTCATGACCACAGAGCTGCGACTATTTTGGTTTAATTTATTTTCATTTCAAACATTTGTTTGTGTACTTTATGAATACCAAAAATCTATCCTGGCTAAAAAACAGAATACCAAAAATCTAATATGGCAAACATGTAAGAAGCTTTCACTGAAATATAATTTAGCAAGAAATTTGAGTTAAAAGAAAATTTGATAAATGTTGCAAAACATCGAAAGAGATAAAATTAGGTTTTAGGACTGAATCCGATTTTGATAGGTCGATGGCAAAAAAAAAAAAAAATGATAGGTCATGCTATTCATTAATTATCAATTGTCATGAATAATCATAATAAACCAAATACTCTATTGTCTATATCACATCATTTATTTTATCTTGAAATTGTCACTTTCAAAGCTTCCAATTAGGAAAAAAAAATTAAGAAATAAGATGTCCCATTTCCTTTAATATATGTGACGAGGGCCTTACATTAATACCAAATTTAAATTGATGATATAATCACAATATTTCAAATTTCAAAGCGTGATACACAAATACCGAATGACAAAAAACCAAATCATATCACCATCACGTTAGACCAAGGCAGAGTTTCTAGTCTGCCTTAAAAAAAGAAAAAAGAAAAAAGAAGAAGAGATAATGCTGAGAGATTAATTTTTAATATAATCTACACTTCCTCTGATAATTATCATTTAGCAATAAACATCTTTTTAATTATATAAAAAGGTCGCTTTCAAGTACAGCTTTCTAGAAAGTTAGCTTTCGAGAAAGTTTATATGACTTGCTTATTTAATATAATTTTTTTTTTATTGATGAAAAAGGGATATAATTTTTTTATTTATTGGGAAGTTTATGTTGTATATGTTGAAAATAAATATACCACTATTTTGTATGTTAAAACATAAATATCCTTATTTTATGTTTAGATGGTTTTATTGTAAAATATATTTTAAAAATATTAGTACAAACTCTAGATAAAAATTTAGACTATCTCTACAAAGCCATGGGCAGCACAAAGACAAAGACAGTTTTAAGTCATTTGCATACTCTTTTTTTTTTTTTGTTGAAATTTTTATTAAAAAGGTTTTAAGTCAACGTCAACCAACTTAGCTTAAATAGACGAAGCATGTGCAAATTTAATTTACACTTGAGCAGATAGATGTATAGTCTATTCAGAAGAAAAATCAAATTCTGATCCAAAAGTTTTGAGTAATCTTTAAGGTTTAAGGCTTTTCTAGAAGAGTGATTGAACTAACCTAATTTGTGATTAGGTGAAGTTAAGACGTTTATCTTGTTTTGGGATAACTTTATTGGCAATTAATGAACTCATTATCCACGGAACCAAACACAAAAACATGTCAGCCTCATCTCGCTCCAAATTGATTTGATGGACACATAAGATTACAACAACATAACACCATCAAGGCATCAATTAGCGGAATTTGATATTAACGTTTTGTTTGTTATGGGGAAAATGGAGGGGAGAGGAGGAGAGAGAAAACTTTCAAAAACTCAAGTTAAAAAATTAAAAAAAATAGGGTTTTGAAATTTTAATAAAAAAAGATGTAAAATAAAAGTATAATCAAAATTAATTAAAATTTTTTAACTCTGCTTATTTAATTTTTTAGATCAAGCTCATCAAAATTTTTCCTCTCTTTCCCTCTCCTCCATTTTTTCATACTAAACAGACCCTAAGTGACATTGCAATGCATAAGAAAATATGTGTAATTTTATACTCTATTTGATTTTAGACATAGAAATTAGATAATTAATTTATAAAGATTAAAAAAATTAGTGAATTTAATTATCTATAAATTTCTTAATATATCGGATCAATAGAAAAAGTTCAGTAACAGAATTATAAATATAAAAAGCAAAATAAATTGAAATTTCATATTTAAGGTGAAAACAACCTCCTCTATTGATTTTTCTGTTTAGAACTATGGAAGTTATTTAACCTGCTTTATATAATTCTAAAAACCCAAACAAATCATATTGTTTTCTGGAGAGGATGTTCTCCAAATGCAAATTGAGAGAGAAGGTGAGCATTTAACACTAATATATTGACGCACAAAGTCTTCACATGCTCATAATCTATCTAGTATAACACTAATATAAAAAATTCAACAAGTAACATTATTATAATTGGATAAATAATAAAATTTATTTTTAGAGTGATCTGGGTAACACCCCGGATTGGGTGAGGCTATTGTTTTCCCCAAAAAGTCACCATCACATGCAAATTGTATAAAAAGAACAGATAATTAAGAAAAATTGAGAGTTGAGAAAGAGGGCGTAGAATTAGGTGAATGCCTTTCTTGACTTTGACAAATTGATAAAAATAAGAGAATGATAGCAGCACAATCAAAAAGCTAAGGGCAAATATATGCATTATTTATAAGCCCACATCACCCATTATGTCACCATCCATTATCTTTATTTACGTCAATTTCTCCTCACTTTTGCGTCACTCCTTTTCAAATTATTTTCATATTATATTATTTAAATGATTTCTAAATAAATTCATATAATTAAGATAGTATGAATTCGTCTTCGGTCTTTTGCAACTATTAAATGTTTCAATAATGACATGAGCATGATAAACTTGTATATAATATAACCATGCACTATCTTAGTTTTTTTTTTATATCATACATTCGGTATTTAATATAAAAACTAGATAATTAATTTATAAATATTAAAAAAATTATTGATTTAATTATTTGTAATAAATAGATGTTATTTTTTCTAAAAATATAGCATTTTCTTAACATATACAATTGCTATAAGAATTATATGAAGGCAAAAATTAATAAATACTAGATACAAAATGAATTGAAATTTTATATGTAGAACCAAACTAAATTTCTAACTAAACCACGTTGAAGCTAGTATTCTTTTATATAAGTTATTTACATCAATGATATAACATAAATCAAACCCTTATAAATTAAACAAACTTTCGTGAATTTTGGCATTTTTCCTTGGAGAGAAAAAAATAAACTGGAAATTGTTATAAGATTTGGAGTAGAGTTTGCGCTGGGACGTTTGTGAAATCATTGTTTATTGGATATTTGTCCAACATTTAAGAGAATCTTAATATGTATGGCACGAACTTAATCCCAAAAAAAAGAAGGAAAAAAGATAAAGGAAAAGTGAAAATTTGGTTAAAGTTCTAATTAAAAAC